TGCGAATCCAGCCGTTTCAGGGATCATTTCTAGATCGAACAATCCATTTCCAAACTTCAGGGATCATTTATTATATTATAAATTCAATAAAAGATATTATAGTGATTTGTTTGATTGATTGATTTTGAGTTTGATTTGTTCAAAGATTTGTGCTCACATAGAGATGTTCTTTGTGCTTCCCCGTAAACGCGCACTTTCTGGCACAAGGCTCTTCGCTCCGCCGCCACCCGGTTCGAAGATTAGTGTTCTTTGTGCTTCCCCGTAAACGCGCACTTTCTGGCACCAGGCTCGTTGCTCCGCCGCCGCCGGTTTCAAAGATTAGTGTTCTTTGTGCTTCCCCGTAAACGCGCACTTTCTGGCACCAGGCTCGTTGCTCCGCCGCCGCCGGTTTCAAAGATTAGTGTTCTTTGTGCTTCCCCGTAAACGCGCACTTTCTGGCACCAGGCTCGTTGCTCCGCCGCCGCCGGTTTCAAAGATTAGTGTTCTTTGTGCTTCCCCGTAAACGCGCACTTTCTGGCACCAGGCTCGTTGCTCCGCCGCCGCCGGTTTCAAAGATTAGTGTTCTTTGTGCTTCCCCGTAAACGCGCACTTTCTGGCACCAGGCTCTTGGCTCCGCCACCGCCCGGTTTAATTACCCAAGGAACGGGAAAATGTTTCGAGAATCGTCAAAAATTGAAGCAATTTGGCTGGAAATTTGGAATAGATGGTTTTTCGATATGGGGAATTCGATGGTATTGCTCATTTCATTGGACTTACTTGGTCGTTCCAGAAGGGGTCTTTTCTTAACTCAAGCTGGATCGACGTCTTCTTAGGGTTGAAGTTGAAGTTAAGTTGAACATCGTTTCAACTAACTAAATCTATTAGATTGGAAAGAAAGTTCTCGGAAAAAGTATGACTGAAATTTCCTAAAAACGAATCCACCAATTGAAGAACATTTTATTCTATTATTTGCAAGTCGACTCCAAGAAATTACTCGTAGAAAAAATGAGTGCAGCCTTCGCTTAAAATTTTAGAGATTTTTGAAAAATTATTATTTTCCAGCTTAAATTCTCAGCTCACTTTTGGCACCAGAAAAGCGATTCTTTATGAGGAAAAGCTAGCATAAATGAGCAACACGCTCTACAATCTCTATTTTTAACCAAACATTTTTTACAGAGAAGCTGTATTTCAAAAAATAGTTTTTTTGGCGTCACCTTCTCGGCACTGAGTGTTTACTAAAATAGGTGATTCTGAAAAGTCAAAAGCATTAGATTAAATTTGCCTTACTCACAAATTTTCCCTATCTTAAGTACTTGATTTTAGGTTTTGAATGAGACCAATTGCCTATTCATTAACCCATTAAAAACTTGTCTAAAGGCTGGCCATTCAAAAAGTGACCAAGTCACTTCAGCTCAAGAAATCTCTGATTTTTGTCGAAAACTTTTTCAAAATATAGTCAAGTTTATCAAAAAATCTGTGAAGAATTCATGGCTTGGTTTTTGAGAAATCGTCGTGCAAACTTTTTCTACGAACTTTCTTGCCAACCTAATATAAGAATTACCTTCCAGCCACTAAGCTTCAAGAGCTTCTGTTTTTCGAAAAAGCTTCATTTTAGGCCATTTCAGGCCACAAACGGCGATTTTAGTCCAACATTATCTCTAGTATTTTCCAATGCTTGAGCCCGATTACTCGTTTCGTTTCATGCGTTTCTTGCTGCCCCTACGGACCGAAATCCTTGGGATGAATCCAAAAATTCACAGCGGCTCCCTTCAGCACCCTTTTACAGGCACTTGGGATCCCATTTCGACCGACGGAGAACCCGCCATAATGGTCAAAATGAGCCGGAACTGGGTTGACCAGCTCTACAGCCGAGGTTAGTTTTGGGAAGCGGTGACCACCTGGGGCAGACAACGGATTGGTTACCGGATGACCCAAAATGGACGCTTCCGATTTGAGAAGTGAAAGGGAAGTATATCAGCAGGCGTCATATGCCAGATCGAGCGCGATTGTGCTCGCTCACAGGGAACACACATCGATCTTCTTTTTGAATTTTAAAGTTCAAAAACTTCAAATTTTTGGACAGAAAAATTGTACCCAGGCGGCTTTTCGGGGTTGGGGAATCGATTGACAGTGTTAGTTTTAATGTTTTCTTGTTCTTGTACAAAAATCAACCTAAAAACAATGATTTGAACGCATTTCTCATTGAAGGATAGTTCTAATCTGAAAAAATTTTCATCCTTCGTGACGTTCCAAATAAAACTGGACAGTTTTTTTTGACTTTAAATCCTCGTAGAATTGTTTTTAGACACTTTTCGATATGGGGAATTCGAGTTTGATTTCCCCCCGTAAACTTACTTCCAAAATCTCTTCCAGTCGTTTCAAAATCGTTCCAAAGTCGTTCCAAAATCTCTCAGCTTGATCGATACTCATCAAACCCATCTAAGTTCTGCATATCTATTATAAATTAGCATTTAAATATCTAGATAAGACTAACATTTATCTATATTATTCAAAAACGTATCGGAATATTCCGATCGATGAGCGCGTTTCCCTCAAAATCGCTATCGTCTTCGCCGAACGGGTTGATGATGATCGTTTCATCCACCTAAATATATTAGGTTGGCAAGTTATAAACTATCGTTTTTGGTAATGTGTTTTCTGAAAAAACGGCTTATCCAATCAAAAAACGGAAAGAGAACGGTTCGATCGATTGGATTGTTGTGAAATTTTGGGAAACTATGTAATCGATGAAGCGTTTTAAGCGATGAAGCGCTAGCGATCGACATTTTAAAAAGTATGCAATCACTCAAAAATATATTAGCTCATGAATGCTAGAAATCAGGATTTTGAACTCTTATCTTGCGAAATTATATTGGTATGTGTTGTATGGGCTTGGCTTTGTAAGTACATCGTTTTTTGGTTATACTAAACTCATACTAAACTATACTAAACTACTATAGCCAGTATTATTAAAATTATTAAAGTCAGTATTATTAAAATGCCTGAAAAAGTTCTAAAATAACACATTTTTCAAAAATTCAAAAAAGCCATTTTGTAGATTAAGGATAGGGCTTTTGAATCAAGCAAACCGTTTTTTGATTGAAAAAGCCGTCTTTTCAGAAAACACATTACCCAAAAACGATCGTTTATAACTTGCCAACCTAATAGTAACATATAGTAAATATAGTAAGTTATATAGCAAATAGTATAGTAATATAGTAATTAAATATAGTAAATTATATCTAGATGTTTTGCCCTGCACAGAAAAGTTCATAAATAATTTGGTGTTTAAAGAAAAGGGAAAAGTTTAAGTTCAGCGGGTAAAAAATGAAATGAAGCGTCAGCGTCTATTCCGAGTATCGGTTTAAAAGTAAATAAAACCCGGTAAATCCTGTATAGACTAACCTAACCCATTCGTGGAAGGCGGCGCCCGGAGCCATGGGCTGGCCCGGGTCGATTGTACGAATAGCCCCGAGCAACAAAAAACCGAAAGGATGTTGTGGAAAGACCCACAGTCTCCCGTGAGGGATACAGCTGAAGTTCGTGGAATCGCTACTATTCCGCACTGCCACCCGTGGAGGAAGGCAGAATGGTCTGTTGCTCGTAACCGGATTACAATTATGCTCCCTTTGGGCTCCGGCATCCGTCAGCTGTCCGCTACTCGACAGTCGTCTAGATGGCGGGAGTTTGGACACCCCATTGGAGGAACCGCGAGGTTCTTAAACCGACTGGGGATCAGATCAATCCCTTTTAGTATCAACAAAGTGTAACTTCGGAGCATTCTCCTACTTACGTTGCGCGCACCTTAGCAAGCTGAGCATTCTTGGTGCGGGAGTCGGTGCCATCGTCAAGGACCAGACGTGGATCTCGGATCCCAAGAGTCTTCGGACTACAGGGTGGCGGAGTGCGAAGTCCAGCCACCTCCTCGTGGTGCACTCTGGGCACTTCCTGGAAACAGGAAGTGGTGAAGAGCTGGACAAAAAAAGGAAAAGAAAAGTTTTGGAAAAGTTCAAAAGCTTTAAAAACTTTAAACTTTAAAGGTTTTCCAAAAGTTCGTTTCAGAAAAACGGCGTCAAATGGGCCTAGGGTTTGTTTGATGTAAAGTCAGTTTGAGGGGGCAAAAAGGAGATTAAAACTTTTTGAATGTGATCTCAATTCCAGTTATCGTGGAAATTCGGCGATTGGCTGCTCAAATCGTGTCAAGGATGTGCCTAATTCTTTTGGAAATTACCTAATTAATGAAATTTCCTAATTAGCAAAGCAAAACGAAGCCAACTTTCCGTCGAAATTCGCGGTAAAATACGAAATCATATCAAAAAAGAGATAGCATTTCACTTAAATACACGCTTTTTCTCTGGAATTCTCTGAAATTTTGTCAAATTTTTACTTTTAAAAGACAATAAATGAATACGGTGTTTCGTCCACGCATTAGCTTTCCATCTTTTGCGACAAGCTAGCCTATAGTTTGCATGTAAATTTGATAATTGATAAATTTTGCGAACGGTTAGCGGAGTCACAAGCCACTTCAATCTTCAATCTACCCAACTAGTAAGGTAGATCGAGTCAAAGTCAAACTCAAGTCAAGAATTGTGCACAGTCATTGAGCGGAATGCTTGAATTGTAATGTGTTTGCAATACCATGTAAGATTTTCTTTATAGCACTAAGACAAAGTTCACCACATTTTTACCATTTCGAAGGGGAAATGGGGAAAAGCCAATCACACACGATCATCACACAACACAGTTCATGGAATGTATTCAATAAAGAAAAAAAACTAGATCAATAAATAGATGAGCAGAGAATTTTGGGGGAAATATTGCAAAGAACTAGAAAAACCCCTATAAAGTGTAGTTATGGCAAAAAGAAAAAAGGGGGGAAACTCGGAAATGATAATGCCAGTCAAGATAGCACCAGTTTAACGAAGAAAAAAAATGGCAAAACTACCGTAATCCTAGAAAAAACGAGACAAAATGGAATACGGTGATGAATAAATAGAATTACAAGAGATTACAAGAGATTATTTCTTCGAACAAAGCTCTCGAAGATCGTCAACGATACTCGAGATCATTTGTTGATCGCCGCTTTTGCCGTTGATTTGAATGGAATCACCCTGAAGATGTCTGATTATTTTTATTTCATACTGTAGTTTCTAAAGACTCGTACGTAGGCCATTTCACTGGGTAAATGGATAGTTGCTTGCCGAATGTATATTAGATATTGTTTCAAGCTAAAGAGATGCAATTTTTGCACGAAAACCGCTTCTAGCACACTTCTAGCACACACTTTCAGCACATCAACTCATTCATTTACCCAACTATGGTGTGCCAGGGACTATGTGTTTACGCTAACAATTCAAAGCTCTTCCTCAAATCCCATTCAAACTTTTACCGTCTTTTTGACGAGAACGGCCACCGGTCGATTGTCGATATTTGTTGTTGCATAAAGGGAGGCTGCCCCGGAAACCTCTTCCACCACTAAAATTTAGTGTTTGATACGAATATAGAATCACTTTTCAGTACTCACCTGTGAATCGTGCTTTTTGCGTGATTCTTTGCACGATTTGCTTAAAGGGAACGGGGCTTGAACATGTCGCTGAAGCAGACAAATCGATCTCGTCACTCGAGAGAAGAACTCCATAGGATTCTCTAAAAATGAAAAAATATAATATTTTATTTACTTTATATGCTTAAAGTCTTAAATTCTTAAATTCTTAAATTCTTCAATTCTTTTGGTACTCACTTTCCGATCGTTGCCGATAAAAGGAATGTGGTGGCCGGGATGGAGAGTTTGAAATCAAGTTTCTCCGAGTTCGAATTGTCTCCATCCTAAAGATTGTTTTTAGGGAACATCTACCGTAATACTTTTTAGAATACACTAGTCTAATAACCTTAGTTTCACTTTAATCAATTAGCTTACTTGAACAAAATATGTTAGCGATCCACGAATCTTTTGACTTAAAGCCGTCGACGCGACCGTGACTCTCAATGGGAGAATCGTGGAATCGTTTGGTGAAATCGATGAGACTTTGAGGGATGAATCCTTAAAGATTTCATTTCTTTTAATTCCTAAGCAAGTGTCGAATCTTCTCAACTTTTCCCCCACCCCATCTCCATCTTTAGCCATTCGTGCATTGAGTGTTTCACAGAGATTGATCTCGATTCCTTTCATTTCATTAGTGCCTTCATTGCTCAGTGAGATCTTCACTAAACAAGTCGATGGATCGTCCGGACAAACCGAGATCGAATAGTCCTGAAAAAGTACATCATTCGAAAATGGATCTTGTCTCAGTTCAGAGATTAGAAGTTAGACCAAAGCTAGGCTCAAGTCTAATCTGGTCTACCAAAAAGTACTACTGAGCCTGCCCCTTTCTCTTAGCTCGGTCCTAGCCTAGCTTACAGGCCCAGGAATCTACTATATATAAAATATGACCACTTACCGCTTTGAGATCTCCATTGCTAGCCAGTGATGACAGATGTGAATGCGATCCGATTGGAGATGGGCCGGGGGTGTCCCCTTCTTGGAAAGGATTTGATGGAGTGCACACACCGGACGGCTCTTCATAAGCTTCTCTCGACGGGACACCCAACTTTTTCTTCTTTTTGCTCTTTTTTTCTCCCTAAATGAGTTGGATTTTTTTGTATCTTTTGGGCAGTTTACCTTCAACGCATCAGCCGCTTCTTCCACCACATTTTCCTCATCCAGCCAGTTGTCCATGTCAAAAACGTTTCCACTTGTCGCTGAAATTTTGTATTTAGCTTGATTTTGTCTAGCTTGGTAAAAATTAGCAAAAAGTTCATTTCTTCAACACCCACCAGCACTAGTTGCCCCATTTGAAAGTTGTGCTTTCGCCTTTTTCTTCTTTTTCATCTTCTTTTCAGCACTAAAAGCAAAATTTTCAATTTTTCAAAAGAAATTCAAGAAATCAAACCTCTCAACCGTTTCCACATCATTTTTCTTCTTCTTTGCCACTTTCTTCTTTGTTGTTTGTTCTTGTGTGATCACCTTTTGTGGCCCAGTTGTTGGTGGTCGAGGTTGCAAAGGTCCTTGCTAAATTTGAATTCGTTTATTAACAAAATGCCTTCAATTTTCCAACAACATATTCCTCTAGCGATTTTCCTTTAAACAACATTCAAAAAGCTTTTCTTTAATTGGGTTAATCTCTACGTGAAGTCACGGAAACAACTCCGATACGAACAAAAAAAGAGAAACCAATTTTTGAGCTACTTGAACGAAAAAGAAATCTCTGAACGAGAACCCACATATCCGTCTGTTTGTGAGAAAGAAATAGAATCATCCTGTACAAAAAAATGAATAGGAAAATGAGGAAATGAATGAAAAATTAGGATGGAACTTGCCATGAAAGGACGAGCGTTGGCTGATTGACGAACGTAGGCTTGGGGTCCACGAACGATCTCGTCAGGTCTGGAAATGGAGAAGTTAACATTGGAACAAGATAATTATAATATTAATATTCTTATACAAAAACCGGCAATGATGATCATATATTGCCAAACTTTTGCAAACGAACCTCAACGGTTCATCGAGATTCACGTCGAGCGCCTTGAACTCATCAGTTAGACCATTCTAAAAATAAAAATATGCTTTAATTTTTAAAAGCGAATCGATTACCGTTTTCTCATCTTCATCATCGGTCGATTTCGCATTCTCGGGCATTTCTCCATCATTTCGATTGACTTGATGTACAATCGCCACCTCATCTTCATCACTGCTGCTTTCCTCAGCCGCCTAAATAATTTAAATTTAAATTTCAAACATTCACTCACTCTTTTCTTTTTTCCCTTTCCTTTTTTCGTTTTCTCCTTTTTCTTTTCTTTCTTCGCGTTTTTCCATGTCAGCGTCGAGTCTTGTTGTTCCATGTAACGGGAAAGGCCAACAACACCTAAAAGCAATTGTTGTCAAGATCCGTTTACTCAGTAACCAATAATTAACATGTAAATTTATACCCGGAATCTCCAGCGGACTTTGAATGGAAAGATTTTGCGAGGATTCCCCGTTTTCTTCTCGTTTCGGCGCCACAGGGAACTCGTTTGGTCGTTTAGGGGCGGCGGCTGTGCCTTTGACATAGTAGCTGAAATTGTTATCGTTTTATTGGAAATTTATTTTATTAGATTATTCCGTATCTTAGATTAGCTTTTCGGATAATTCAGTGTACAAGAAAGTGTCAAAATCAAAGTCAAAACAAAACAAAAGTCAAACTCACGGATTGCTTTGTATTTCCCTTTCCCTTTGTTGTCTCCTCTTTTCTAATTCAGCTGACGTTATCTCATCGTGTTCTTTTTTCTTCGTTTTCATTTTTTGATATCCTTTCTCTGGTTCTTCTTCAGAATCGTACTTTGGTGGGCCGCCAAAGTTGGCAAATTCGCTGCGAACCTGGAAATGTATTTGATGAGGCAAGGATCCTAAATCTTGCAGTGCAGCTTGCAGTTAAAAAATCTATTTAGGTCTATTTGTTATTTGTCTATTTGTCTATTTGTTAAAAATCTATTTAAGCTAACAATTATACGTTAAAGATAATGCTATTTTCTATTTAAATTCCTGACTTTCATTTGTCCAAAGTTCTTCTCAGTCTCATCTTCACTGCTTTCACTCGCGCTTTCCTCCCATTCATCACCAATCCACGAATCGAGATCCAATCTGAATTTTAGTAAGATTTAAATATATGTCGTAGCCGATTATGAATTTCAGCCGATTATGAATGAGCGGGTCTAGGAGCGTCCAACCATCAAGTATTTAGTATCATTCAACGCAGAGTCATTAATAATTATGTTAAATTTTTAAAATTAGAAAGATTGGATAAAAAGAAAAAAAATTATGGGGCCTCAAAGTTTCCTCCTGAACAAACAGTTTTTTTGCTCTAATTTTCTTTCTTTTTATCAAATCTTTCTAATTTTAAAAATTTAACATAATTATTAATGACTCTGCGTTGAATGCTACCAAATACTTGATGGTTGGACGCTCCTAGACCCACTCATTCATAATCGGCTACGGGGGTTCCGCCGATTTTGAATGAAACGTTGTAGCGCCGGTAATTTTTAACCTACACTCCCAAATTTGGTACCAATCGACGCAGAATTTAATTAGCTACAGGATGATATAATATTGTCCTCATACATTAAAGGGTTGCTCTACTAGAAAGATTTACCAAAAAATTTCATTCATAATCGGCTACGACATATATATTTAAAAATTTATATAGTAGATGTAGATTTTTTTAAACAAACCCATCCGGAACGGGGACTTTTCTCTGCGCTTTCGTCGCCACTGGATTCAGCTCTCCTTCGTAGAGTCTGGCTACCTAAATAATTCCAAATTATAACATAATATAATGTTCAAATAGATTTTATTATACTATAGCCATTTTCTATTAGCCTAAGTCAGGTATTATAGATAATTTTACCTCTTCAGCGACTTTCTCCTTTCTCGAATGGTACATCTCGATCACTTTCAGCATCGCCATCAAGGTGCAGGCCTAGATTTTCATGATATTATTATTAGCTTAAAGATAAAGCTAATAATCTGTATCTGTAAATCTGTAAATTTAAAATTTTCTCCAAAATCCAACCCTTTCCTGCGCTTCCAAATGCTCGGCCAACTCCAGCTCGGGCAATTTGCTCATCATCAAGTTATCGAGTGAATCAACCGCATCCCAGTCTTCTTCCTAAACACAAATTCTTTCTTATTTCCAATCTTTATTTACCTCTTCAGCTTTTGAAATCAATGCTGCGTAAAGTTTTCCAATGTTTTGAACATAAACCGAAAGAATATGGCCGGGCATTAGAGACGGTTTCGCTTTGAGCATCGCCTCGAGCACGCTTGGCTTGTCGCGAACGTTTCTGAAAAATGAGATATAATATATCTAGAAAAACTGGTACTAGCTACGTTTATCCAGTCTTAAAATTCGATTGAAGATCACTCACTCGCTGTATTCTCCACAAATCCACGCAGCCGCCAGCAGCACTTCACTGATATTCGAGCGTTGCTGAGCGCTGCCCGAAAGGAGGAGATTCGCGTTTTCCACCTGCAAACTGTTTTGTCTACAAAGAAAAAGACGACAACAATGACTTCTACCCAAACAGATCTCGAATTCCAAAAAACCCACCAATAATGCCATTTGTGAGACGGAGAAGTGTCGAATCGATTCAACTCGCACGGTCACATCTTGGATCTACGAAAGCGGTTCCATTTAGTCATTTCACTAAAAATTCCTCACTTGTTCAGCGATTTTCGCTCCATGCTTCGTTCCCTCGACTTTCGTCAATTCGACGAGTACCGAGATGTACCACTCAAAGTTGGTGATGTATTGATAATTGTTGTAGGAACAGATGCTGATGATTCGGGATAAGAGCTCGTCTCTGGAAAGTACATTTTGGACTTATTAGCTCTGGAAATATCTGTCGAGAAGATATCTTTATATACCGCACAAAATTGTCGTTTTCTAAAGCGCACCTTTAACGTCTGTCCCATTTTATTTTATTTTTGCTCCCTCTGAGAGTGGGACAAATGCGACCTTTTTTTTGCACACCCGAACATTTGCGCACCTTTTTTTCCGCACTTACACAGCGCACCTTTTTCCGCGTTTTAAAAAAGCTCTAAAAGCTAATATTAACCAATTTCTATTCCAAATGTTGTTTTTCTTTTTTCTAGGTAATTTTAGGGCGTAGAATCGAAATTTTGACATATCAGAGCTTGTGGAAGCGAACGGACGGAGTTATACAAAGAAAAATCAATAACAACATAACAGAGCGTGTGGAACCAATTTGAAAGACAAAACGGCTAGGTTAAATTACAGAAATGATTTTTCTCTTTGTATAAGTCCGTTCGCTTCCACAAGCTCTGATATGTCAAAATTTCGATTCTACGCCCTAAAATTACCTAGAAAAAAGAAAAACAACATTTGGAATAGAAATTGGTTAATATTAGCTTTTAGAGCTTTTTAAAACGCGAAAAAAGGTGCGCTAATGGGCTAAGTGAGGAACAAAAGGTGCGCAAATGTCCGGGTGCGCAAAAAAAAAGGTCGCATTTGTCCCACTCCCCTCCCTCTCATTTGGTTTTACATTTTTGATACGAATGAATTATGTTTCTTTTATTCTTCGTTATTCTATATCAAACGGTTTCGTGGCTGTACATGGAAATTTGGCGACGATTCATTTTTGCTGCTTTCACTTCTTCAAGGCCGTCTACAGAAAAATCAATTTTAGGAAAAAAACTCGATGGTGCTTATTGCGATCACAATGCATTTGTTTACACCATTTGATAAACGCTAGCTGTTATTCCGCAAGCAAGTCAATCACGTTACAACAGTCGCGTCGATCTGCTACTACAACAAATACTTTTTGAACCTAACATGTTTAGAATTCAAAATGATATATCTTTCTAACCTATAATGTGATCCTTCAGCATGTTCCACGTGTTCCATCAATTTCTTAACGATTTCCATAATATTTTTCTTCGACACCATCCCGTACAACAAATCGAGAGATCTGAAAAGACGAAAATGAGCTTTTTAATAGGAATTCCTTTGGTTCAAAAGATTCAAAAGGTTCAAAATTCGATTACCTTATCCGAATACTCTCATCTCGATCATCCAAACACCGCAAAACGATATCTTTGTGAGCCTAAATAAGTTTTGTCGGATAGAACTCACAAATTTCCCCTTACTTGAACGGCTTTCGGATGCGTTTGTAGGATTTTCCCCATCGCCAACAGGCCAAGGTATTTCAGATTTTGATCGGCGTCCTCGATTAAAAGGCCGAGTTTTTGAACGCACAACTGAAATCGTTTAGTAATGGTATTTAATGATAATAAATTAATGAAATGGTAAAAAATGGTTCCGGCGTTTGAATTAGAATCATTTTAAAACCAATTCACTCACCTGTATGCTCGTTGTGTGATCGCCAGGTGTGCCAGCCGATGTACTGATCAAAACTGAAAATCATTTTAATCAATTGAGTATTTTCTTGCAAAAGCCCACCAGCAATCACCGTATTGATGCACTCATAGAGCAGCGACATCGCCGAGGTACTAAAAAGTCAATTTTTAAGAGATTAAACTAACATTTTAAGTGTTTACTTATGATCTAACATTCAGTTAAATTCCTTAAAACTTAATTTTCCCTACCTATTGATGAGATTTGTGAGTGGTTCGAGCAGCTTTTTGCCTAGCCGAGGCTCGAGTGGCACCAACGCTCCAAACTAAACGAAATTAGCATAATAATTTTAAAAGTTTACTTCAATTTGCTTTTGAAGCTTCACTTCAATTTGATCACTTACCAATTTGATTATTTTAATCAACATCCAATTATTCGAGCTCGTTGTCATCAATTTGAAGAAAACCGGCGCCAATGTGAGATAGTTTTTCGGGTTTTTTCGCGCCAACTCGCAGATCACATTCACAGCCGCACTTTGAACGCCTCAAAGAATATTAAAATAATATAGAATAATGCAGAATAATCCTAATGTGAATATAACTCGAAGAAACTTATTTATTTCGTTATTGATGGGGGAAAATGATTTCAAACCTGGATCCGCGTCTTCCAATTTCTCTTTCAAACGCGGAAACGTCGGTCGGAGAGCGTCCGGGTATTTGAGGAAAATTTTGTACAAAAGCAAGACCGCTCGTTTTCGGATATAGGGACGAGAGGAGGTTAACTGCAAAGAGAAAGTCCTCATTTGTTATTAGATGCATAAACAGATCAACAAAATCTTTAGCCCAAGCTCTGTTGACTGACTGTTGACGAATTTTACTGATCTAGATACCAATTCTGATAACAAAAGCTGTTTTGTGCATCAAGATGACTTAAAACTTAGCTAAGTGGTAGTATTTTTGGTACTTTTCGCTTTTTGGTTGGTCATAGCTTTCAAAATCTGTATTTAAAAGAGCAAATCAAGCAATTTGGGGGACAAAATCGACTTGATTCAATGAACTCAATGACTTGATTATTTTTTTCTGATTCTAATTGCAAAAACTATAAATTTAGGGCACCGAATCGACTTGATTCAATAAGTTAACTGTTAACTTCAATAACTTAACTGTTAACTTCAATAACTTAACTGTTAACTTCAATAAGTTAACTGACAAGTACTGTATTTTTGTATCTAGCACATATTCTGTTCGAATTTTGTATGCAAAATTTCTCCCACTACTCACCAAATTGACGATATCACTGGCGAGATCCCGAGCGAGATCTGGAGTCACAAAGCATGCCAATCCGCCGAGTGCCACCCCGCAATCATACCTAATTTTTGATATATTGATAATTTTTGATATATTCGATTTTCTTACATATTCGCTGAATTGATATCTTTTCTGATGAGATTCGTCGTTAACATCAACACCTCCGTTGAATCGTGGAAAGATTGAGCGGCAGCGAGGTATCTAGAAATGAGAATGAAGAAAAAGATCAAATATCTTTAGTTTGTAGATAAAAATCATCCGCTAGTAAATCTATGCACTGTGTTTCCTGGCTACTTTTCGATCCACTACTTACCCTATCCTCTTTTCAGTGTATTTTGTGGAGACCATCACCTCGATGATGTTGAATGAAGCCCAAGAGATATCATATCCAAGCATTTGAAGCTAGAATTTCAAATATTCAGTCATTTACATTAAAATCTACGAGTGCCTTTCATTTTTCTCAACTTACATATGCCAATTTCTCAATTGCATTAGCTTTGATGAAAGTGGAGTCCTGTTTGAGTTCCATTTTGATTTCCTCGATACAAGAAGCGATGTAGCGAGCCTGAGAGATCGAAAGATAAAGAATTGCATTACATTTTTGTTAATATCTTTTAAAATCCATTTTTTTAAAATCATTTACCTCATTATCTTTATTATTACGAATGCCTCTGATGAGATCGGTGAGACTTTTGTCGAATAGACGGTCGAGGTTCGATCGAATATTCTTCAAGGCCATCTCTTCGAAACTGAAATGGGCGAGGATTGTAATAAGTATTGTAATAATTGTTAAGTTAAGAAAAGATCAATTTTATAGGCCATCAATTAGACAATTGCTTCCATTCATTCAAGTTATTATCATAACTTGAATGAATGGAAGCAATTGTCTGATTGATCAATAATAATTGCCTTGAGTGCTTCAAAAAAAAAAGCCAAACCCAAACAATCTTGTTTTATCAAATTTCAGAGTATCGAGTTTTTCTCAATTTAAAATCTATTCAGCTAAATCCATTTTTTTGCATTATAAGCAAGTCTTTTAAAATAAAAAAAGCTAAAAATGAAATGAAATCGAACACCCGAGATGCTCATGAAAATTTAATGCCCCGGGGAGTGTCATTTAGAAAAGCAAGGATAATGGCTATTTGGCGACAGAACAAATCTACTATATAAAAGAGTTGTGTCTTTAAAAAAAGTCAAAATTGAGTGGCATTGACAAAATTGAGTCAAAACTACGGGGGATCGAACCCGCCTGGGCCTTGCAACCCAAGACACGCGTGCCCCCGACTGCGCCACAGCGACAACAACAACCAGCCAGAAAAGCCAGTTAAACGGTTTTTTTTGCATATAGAACTGGTCATTTGTGCAGGAAACTGTTTCACATAAATCTAAAGTCTTTTTATCAAGTTTCAATGGAAATTGAGCTGCTGTTTTAAATGGAAAATTGGATAAGATCATTTTATTGGATAAGATCGACAAGTATAGAAGTCAATAATAAAGATTTCTCTAGATGAAAAAAAGAAAAATGCGATGGATGTGCATCGTTGGAATCGCCAATTTCGGGTGCCCAAAGAGGGGGATTGAAGGCTTTTCTCGAAGAAGAAAGAGAGAGAGATTTGAAGAGAGAAAGGAGGGAAAGGGGAAGGAGAAAGGAAAGAAAGGGGAAGAAGAAAGGAAAGGAGAAAGGAAAAGACTCCCCCCAACACCCCCTTTTACCCTTCAGGCGATATTCATCCAATGAGAGAGATTATGAGAAATGAAGAGGCGAAAGAGATGTTCGAAACCGATTTCAGGGCATCTTTTAGGGAAACACACTTGTCATCGGCTACTGGGGAAAGGTCAGACAAAGCAAAAAGTAAATAATTAAGGATCCAACTCACAATCAGCAAAGAAATCAATTAGAAGGTTGGCTATAAGAAGTTGAATATTTTAAAGGTTACGTAAAGTTAATTGGAAAGAAATATTCAAATAAATTTGATATTGTAATTGAGATGGATTGGCTGATAGGCAGATAGAAAGCCTACAACTAAAGTGGTTAAATGCAGAAATCTAGGCCTAAATTTTCAGACGTTAGACAGGAAGCTAGGCACGGAAAGTGACTTTTCAAATTTTAACCCGAAAATAAAAATGATTAAACAAGCTTATCGACCATAAAAAACCATTTTCGATAGCTCTCAACTATAATTTTTTTGTGATTGACTAATTGACTGAGTTCATTGAAGTCTTTTTGTTCTTTTTCCTATTTTCGTTGAAAAATAACAAATTCACCAATTAACCTACCGTAAATACTGTAATAGCACCCCACCCTCATAATGACGGTGCGGAGTTTTGCGTAGTCTAGTTTTGAACGCGTTTTTCTTGACACTGGTTTATGCTACAATGCGCGTTTAGGTATCAAAAAATAGCTGAGATTCAGGGCTATTTTTTGATTCCTAAGCGCGCATTGTAGCTTAAACCAGTGTCGAGAAAAACGCGTTCAAAGCTAGACTACGCAACACTCCGCGCCGTCATTATCTTTGGTATCAAAAAATAGCCCTGAATTTCAGGGCTATTTTTTGATACCAAAGACGCATTTTTTGAAAGTATGGGCGCTTTGAAAAAAATGAAACACTAAAAAACTTTTGCGACTACGCGACTGTACGAGGGGGGTGGGGTACTATTACAGTATTTACGGTATCTAATAGTATCTAATAATAGTAGTAATCTAATAGCAAACTCTTTTAATAGAATCAGAACTAATCTTCAAATTCCGGTATGACTTTTCTCTAAATAAAAAGTGTTTATTGTTCAATTTCCCATCAAAAAATAACTGATTTTTCTAATAAAATAAACCGTAGTTTAATTGGTTCAATTGCTTTGAAACGAAAGTACGAAAACGAACGAAAAGACTTGGTTCAAGACTTGTTCAAGACTTATTCACTAGCCTAATATGTTACAGAAACTTTCCCCAAAAACGAACAGTATTACCGACGTTTGAAAGATGAGCTGCGATGTGTCGAAGAGGCGAACGTGTACTGGTCGACCCGTCGCCTCACTCATAAAGATGGGTGGATCACGGGAAAAAATTTTCGAGGCCAAATAAAAGATATTCAGTGAAGGGGAATTCACTGCTTATCAATATTGAGAGTAGTCTGGAGTCTCGCTTCTATCAGTTATCATTCGTCACACAAACAAATTTCTTTTGCTCTTCATTTAACACAAACTATTCAAAGTGTTTTGGCAATGGCAATGGCAATGACAATGCTATACAATTCAATGGCAATCTCTTTTATACTCTTTGCATGTTTTTTGGAGAATTTGGCCTTTCAACCGCAGATTGAGTTGACATTGACAGGAAATGGTAAAGAATTTTGAGAATTTTCAAGATTTTCCCTTTTAAGATTGTAATTTTTAATAAAGCTATTGAAAAATTTCTTTACATTAGTCAACTAATCAATTTCTTTTTGAAATTACAAAAAATTCCTTCAGAAGAAGCCTTTCAATTCGCCGAAGAGCTTCTCGAACCTTCAGGAAACAAAGGAATCCTTGCTCTTGACTTTAAACAAGTAATTGAAAGTCTGAAGAATCTTTGATTTAATAACATCGTTCTATCACAAGATATTATCAGATCCTTCAACAAGGCCCAATGGTTCAACTCAAATTCACAATGAAGACATGGACGGGAACGGTGGAAAATGAGTTGATGATCCCGGCACAAAAAACCACTCTCAACGGAATAATTCTTGAGTTCGTCGATTCGAGTTCTTTATGAGGCCGCCAGTAGCTGCATCGGTGGTCTTGGAGATAGTGTGTTAGACGACTGAACCTGTTAGACGATTAGACTGTTAGACTGCCTCCTTTCCCCTCAAGTTCGAGTCTCTCCCCAAAGTTTTTGGCTTTATTTAAAAAAAGAAAATAAGAGAACCATGTCTAACTGTGTCACTTACTTCATTTGATTCTATTAGATATGGTTATCTTATTTTCTGTTTTTTAAATAACAATTCTATAATATGGTATCCATTTTTGAGTACAGCTTACTTTTAAACGGTCTAGATTAGTTTGGAGTTGCATAAGGGTAGTGAATCACTTCTTCTGAACCTGTAAAGTTAAATGTAAATAGATATTCATTACGATGAGAGACAGATCTTTTGATCAAATATTGGTTCAATACCATTTCTAGCTCAATTCGCACGGCCGGTCAATCATACGTCGAATCCTTTCAACATTTCGAGCTACGTGAGTGAGAAATCATATTTTTCAAGTAGCTAAAGAAAAGTTTTACTTCTAAAGATGAAAAACAAAACAAAAAGGGCTTTAGAGAACGACAAATGGCGGCATTTGGCTTCTGAAATGATCCAGCACAGAATAGAGAACCCGGCAGTGATCGAGAAATACCTTGCTTCTTCAGACAAAGCACCACGATTTGTTCTATTTTATCATGATGGTTTGTTTCTGATTGAAAGTTTCAACCATAGATTTAGACGGAAAATTGACAAATCAAGTGGCAGCTGTGGCTGTCTCTTTGGCGAGGAGAGAGCTTCGTGAAACTGAGGTAAAAAGTAAACTGGAAATTTGTGGTACAAGTCAAGAATCAATTGTCATTTTGTACTTTTGAATTTCTTTAGATCTTGATTGCCGATTGCACGCACAACGTGGAAGAATGCTATAAATACAACGTGAAAGAATTCCCGGCACTGCAATGTTTCAAGGATGGAAAAGTTTAGAAAGAATTCGATTATATGCTAAAAAAAAAAGGTTTTCAGTTATACGCGGATTTTGATGACGAGAGAATGCTGACACTTGATGTGGAGGGAGTCAAGAATTGGATTTCACGGTAGAGAGACAATGTGAGAAGAGAGCCAAACAATTTTCAGCTTACTCATGCCGGCTTTTCATCAAGTTAATGAAGATCAGGTGAGAGGGAAAATATACAATTATTCACCCGAATGTTACAAAAAATACGCTCTTAGCCAGTCGGCTATGGCGGTAGTTGCAGAAATTTTTCATATAGGTACCCTATTTTCGCGAGGGAATCATTCGTGGATGGGATGGAGTCGTCGATTCGGTTCATGTTTTGTTTATTGAAGACAAAAAGGTTTGTGATTAATGGATTTCGATTTTCGAAAGCTAGATTTGTAAACCAAAAAGCTATTGTAAACGAATTTCACAAGAATTCAGAACCGAGTCTACCACGATTTCACAAAACTAGCCTCTCAAAATCACGGAGTATACACATTTGGAACGATGGTTCATCAAGATGTTGAGAAATGGTAAAAAGAGAAAAATATTTCCTTCTAATAAAGCATTTAGGGCCATTCACCCAGCCATCATCACTTTTAAGCCATTAGAGAATGAGGTTGGCTTTGTTTCTAACAAGAAGAAGAACAAGAACAAGAACAAGAAGAACAAGAAGAACTCTTTCAGATCAAAGCTTTCACTTTGCACACAACGATGGGCTATGAGGTGATGAGAAATTATATTGACGTGGCTTCGGATCCGTCTTTGGTAAGTCTGGGATTAGATTCTGTGATAATCTGGGATTAGATTCTGTGTTTCTATAAGGGTTTCTATAGGGTTTTTGGAATGAAACTTAATTTTAGTTTGACCTGACATCACCAATCGAGGCTCTCAAAGCGTTCACGCGACAAGTGCCCGTCTTGGTGCTATTCGATCCATTGGTAAGCATACTAAAGGCTAAAAGAGAACGAGAAAAGATTACTGTAGTTTTTGCAAGAATACCCGTTTTTTCTGATCTGGATATTGAACGAGATTTTCAGTGTAACTCTCCATCGTTCGATCTGGCCGGACTTGCCGCTGAGGACACCGAGTACCGAAGAACAAAAGCTCGTTTCGGGACAGTTAATGGGTATTCAATTGAAATAATATTTAAACCAAAGTATGAAAAGAAACGAAAAAACTTATTCACCAATACATTATTCCGCAACTATTCTTATTTTCTCTCTCTCAGGACAAATCCCTTTTCGTTGTCTCTCTTGGCATCAAGCGGCGTCAAGCAATTTGATCGAGCACAATGGGTGCTAATCGATGTGAAAGAGGTACTCAAAAATTAAGTTATCTCAACAATTTGATTAGATAATGAGAACCTTTTTAGTCCCTTTTTTTAGTCCCTCTCCTATGTAATCCCATTCAATAAGGAGACGCACACGAAATTGAGAGAATTCATTGCTGATCCATCAAAACTCAGCCAACCAAGGGGTAGGTTTCAATAGAGCTTAGCACCTATTCTATTAGGTGGTTCGGATATAAACAAGCGTTGCTAAACTTATTGTTGTGAGAGAAGCTTTTAAAACATGTCTTTCTGTATTTAAAAGTACAGATCTTTTTTCTTGCTTTAGATGAATGACTTCAAATATATCAAGTTTGCGATTGGTCTATTGGTAATCATACTAAAGGCTAAAAGAGAACGAGAGACAAGATTACTGTAGTTTTTGCGAGTTGCTTGAGAATACCCGAGATGCTTGAGAATTTTTTGAATATTGAACCTGGATACTTTACGACTTCAAACTGGGCAAAACAGCCGCGGAATTCCATTGAGATTTGGTCAAAGCATTTAGGAATGATGTATTGTCCGAAAGCCGATGCCGAGCTTGATTCCAATGCTTTTGGAACGGTGATGAAAGTCTCGAGGATGATGAACACTCTCGTCGACCTCAAGTGGTAGACAACGATACTTTGAGGGCTTAGGTCGAAATGATCGAATCAGATCGAATCAGATCCATGTCAAACGACGCGTGAACTTGCTCAATAGCTTCTATTTTCAAATTCTACCATTGATGAGCATCTCCATGCCATTGGAAAGACGATCTGATGCGGGAAATGGCTTCCTCACGAGTTAACGTTCCTCACGAGCAGTGCAAACGCTCGTTTATATCCGAACAACCTAATATAAGCTTGTAAATATTTCTTCAACTTTCAGAATCAACCCTTTCCGTCGAGGTGATTCGAAATGTGATTTTAGGGGAGATTTTCGAGGATTCACATGACGAGTTCAAGCACAAGTATGGCATTTTAAAAATGCTAACATTTAAGCCGAAATTCAAATCAATGATCAACAAAAGACATTGATCTCTTTTGTTTTTTTGAAAAACTAACCTTTTCAGTGACTACCACGAGCCGGGCACTTTACCCAAACCACCATTGCACAATGAAGCTCACGATGAATTATAGAGAAAT